AAATGAGTAAAATAAAATATAAGACTACAAAGGAAAGCAATTATATTGAAATACTAAATATTATTTCTCAAAATATCACATTTTTAAAATATCAAAATGTAAAAGATCATTTTTAAAAATTTAAGTCACAGATGAAATTTATTCATAGACCCCCTAAGTAGAGAGGCCACCTAGTTAAGAATTAATTCCTGCTTTATAAGGTATTTATTAAAGCTATCTCTTTGAAGTCTATAAAATTCACAAAGTATATGTTTATGGTGGAATATACAAAATCATACATGGCTTTACAAACAGGAGTAATTCAACAAAATATTAGTTGTCTTGAACCTAGATTTGGTATAATGAAATGTAGGAGAGGAAACACTCAGAACTGAGGGAAGTGGTTTTAGGACAAATAAAAACGAAGTAATTCTTTACAGAAAATAACAAAGATAGTAGAAACAGGGAACTCATTAATTCAAGATGTCATATAAGCAGAAAATATAAACCATTTGGAGGATGACTAATAAAACTATGGATAATCATCCCCCCCACACACACACACACACTTAATCCCTCCTTTCAAGATGCAACTTGGCAGAGTGCAAGTAACATAAAACGTGGTATCAGAAGTCCTAGACTCAAGGCCTAGCTCAAGTGAACGGGCAACTAATTTCACCTCTCAGATATTTCAATTTGTTCATCTACAAAATGGGGATAACATAGGCATTATACCTCCCTCCAATGGTTGTTGTGACAAAAATGCTTTGTAAATTGTAAAGTGTTACAGAAACGTAAGCTTTTAGGATACTATTATGGGGAAACGACAGCTGTTTAAGGTACATTTCCAAATCTTTGCTAATAGTATCACAAAAGGCAAGTGCTTAAGTTCTCCCACAACTTCCCATGACCCAGTATATCAATGACAATTCTAACATATCTAAATCAAAATTACTCCTGCACACAGACATCAAATTCTTATCACAGAAAACAATTAACCACATTAAGCACCATTTCAATGACATAAAACTACTGTAACTAGGGGAAATTAAGAGGATATGGGAAATTCAAATGCAAGAACAATAATAATGCAGGGAATTGCATTAAGTTGCAGCCAAGTCTGGCCTCTCCCTTAAGGTAGAGTTTTCGCATCTGAAATATAGTAAATATAATTGAAAAGCCATTTAGTTACTACACTAGTCAGAACTAAATACTGCTTTTAAAAAATGAATAGCAAGCATTATTTTTGCAAAGCATAAGCAATGAAAACTGACAAAAGAATAAGCACTGAAACTAGGAAGTTAAAATGTTCAAAATAGCAGCAGCTATACAAACTCCATACCAGAAAACTCAAATGGCAACCATTTCAAGAAACCTTTTGACAGAATAAATCTTACTCAACGGACCACTATGCCTTGTTCCTTTTGTCCTCAAAAGATAGATTTGAAACTATTTCAACTATACCAAGAGTGGTAGGTATCTGACATTTCTACTCCTTCCTTCTGCAATATTATCTGTTGTTGCTAGATGAGAAAACTAGATGGAACAAATCAATGTAACACTACTATAACTAAAAACAATCTTACCTGAACACTATTTTTGTATAGAATTCATAAGTGCTATTACAATCGTAACAGTAGCTCCTGTTTCTAAAGCACTTTTCTCACAACCACACCTTCAGAAAGATAACATTTTACTGTTAAGGAAACAGGACTTGGAGAGGCTAACTTGCCTAAGATAATGCAACTACCAAGTAGCAGATCAATAACCAGAATCCAGGAGTCTTTTGACTCTCAATACCAAGGAGTTATAAAACCAAGTTTAATCAAGTTCTTAATATGAAACAGCTTTGCTCACCATCCCAGTTCCCTTGTGTCTACTCTGAAACTACTGAAAACAAGTGTATTAAGAGAATCTTTCAGTCACTTACCTCTATTAAATTCCACTTCAAAACCTGCCAGTACCTCACTTCTTAACTTCATACCAATTTCATTCCCTTAACACATGAACCCCAAAAAAGAACTGTCCATTTCTGTTCCACCCCACCCTCTCTGTGCAGTAGGAAATTCTTTCCAGGGTTTTATTCCCCAGTTAGAGATATAGCATCAAAAGAAAGATTATTAAAAAGGTTAGGGAAAACTAGAAGCCTACAGTAGCCACCCAAGCACTGAAGAATGCTGGAGATGTACGAGAGTTCAGAGCGGTTAAGTTCTCAACCTTTTTTTGTATCACAGACACTGCTGGCAGCCCAGCCTACAAATCACTTCTCAGAATAATGTTTTTAAATGCACAAATTACTTAGGATTAGAAAATATTAAAAGTTGTCAAAATATTAATTTAAAAAAATCTTAGGGACCCTAGTTTTAACTCAGATCTTAGAGGAAACCAAACCCAGCATAGGAAAATGACCTGCTCAAGATCACAGCGCTAATAAACAGGAGAGCTAGAACTCAAAACATGGCACACTTCCTCCTAATCAATACTAGCTATTACCTTACTACGAATTTTTTCTTATATTTTTCAAAGTGGGCTATACTTATCTCACCACTAGAACTATCTAAAGATAATTAGAAGATGTTTAATTGCTATATAGTACTTAATACAGCATGACAAGTGGGTACTTAAATATTAATCTCACAATAGATGTATATTCTATGACTGAAAAATGTCACTCAGTGATCAAAAACAATATGAGATTTCAACAGTTATTCAAAAGAAGACTGAAATGGCTCCCTTTCAGCTTCTTCCATGCACAACTCCAGGATATAATCCAGGATCATTCCCCACTACTGCTTTCCATCAGAATATTTATGAATGGTGAAAATGATGATTACTATTGAGCAACAAAGGTCTGGTACATAAATAGCTATAGCATTATCAAATACCCTATCAAACTGTAGCTACAGTACAGTAGTCAAGTTACCAGCTTCTATAATACCAAAGATGAAACTGACAGCACTCTTCTCCTGGCTCTTTCCTCCAGATAACAATAAACAAAGTAATGATTCATCACAGAAAAAATTCTCTCTTAGAACATGCACATCATCCATCAATACTTTTAAGGTCGTTTTGTTGTCCTCCAGCAACACAAATGGCAACTCTTCTGTAACTTAGTAAATGGCCTTCAGGAATTACTGTGGCTTAAAAATGCATCACCCTATAGCCAACTTGGTGATACTTTTCTGAATCTAGCTAGTATTTCCTAGTTTGATAGCAGAGAACAGTAGCCCATTGAGATGGTTCTCTCAGATGAAAGACATACAATCCACCCATTAATATTCAATACCCATTTCTACTGATGCTATATTAACTACTACACAGAAAATAAACCTTTTCTAATTATCTTAAAACAGTTCTAGGGGCAAGGTAAGTATAGTACACATGGAAAAATACAAGAGAAAATTTATAAGATAAAAGTATTGTATGGGCCAAAAGCTTTTCTAGCTATGTAGGATTTGGCAATTTCCACTCCAGGGGCATAGCCTTTAGAAATCTAGGTTCATGGTCAATGCCAAAATAAGCACTTCAGTAAATATATGCTATGCAGCCCTCAAAATTGTTGGTGGAAGGAACAGTACATCTAAGGAAACCAAAAATTTCTGGAATCCACTAGTACTTGCCTTGTACTATGTACAAGGCCTTGTGTTACAGTAGGGACATAAGAAGAAAAAGCTCCTGCTCTCAAGGAATTTACATTCTACATTTCTGTGTTCATCACTACAGGCAAAAGTTGTGCCCTTCAAGACTTTTTAATTCTAACTGACCTTGGAAATGTGTATTAAACAAAACTGGTACAGGTCTAATGTTTTTCTTTCCATTTAAAATCTGTATTTATTTCAATATCTCAAAGACACTTCCCAGGGGTATGTGGGTAAAATGTTTACAATCAGCTTTCAAAAAATAATGTAAGGAGAACATAGTAGTTTACATCATTAGTATTTTCCCCATCACTGTTAAGTCTAGACAATCAGCAAAACAATCAATCAAGCCCTGGTTTGAAGCAGTTGCTAATTTTCAATATATAAATGCTCATATGGAAAATTTAACAATTAGCTCTGATACTCTCTCCACCAACATGGCCTGCTACCCCTCTAAAAAAACATTAGTTTTCATGAGTTTCTGTGGCTGAAAAAATTCAAAACCTGAAAAGTTAACCTAGTGACAAGAATCTCTTCCATTAGGCAAGCAGGCTGGTCCTCAGCCCACAGATTTAGTCAACTCCAAGACTCCTATTCAGTCTTCCTGGTAAGGCCTACCAGAGATTGCCTCCCACTGGCAAAATTCAAGAAACTTGGGTTAATTTCACAGGAGACATGAGAGTCAGACTTTAGTGGAGAAATTTAAAAGCAAAATAAAACAAGGGGCAACTAGGTGGTGCAATGCATAGCAAATGGGCCCTGGATTCCAGAGAACCAGAGTTCAAATCCCATCTCAGACACTTACTAGCTGTGTGACCCTGGCCAAGTCACTTAATGCTGATTGCCTCCAAAAATAAATGAAAGAAAAATAAAATGTAAAATGGGAGAAAAATCCACATTTACTGACTTTCACATACTGCTTTTCTAAAACAGTGACATAATATAAATTTGCAAAAAGGAAACCAGACACTAATTGATTAAAAAGTTCTCCAAAAAAAGGGAAAAAAGCTTAAGAAGTAATGCCTATTAACTATTAAAACAAAAAAATTATTGGCAGCACTGAAGAGTGATTGGTAAAAGTCACAGAGGTTCTAGAATCAGATCAATCTGCTTGCCTAAAACAGGAGCAGTTAATATACAAATCTACATATGGATATTTTAGGAAATAACAGTATTTTCTTAGTACTCAGTGTGACTAGCTTTCTGAAGTCTAATAATTTTACAGTAGTAAGACATGCAATAAGACATCTCTTAAGATTATATAATTTGAATGGCACCAGGAAATTTCTACTAGGCTATGTAAAATAAAGCACCAGCTGAATGGCTTCCCTAAAACAGCAACAGTTTTTTCTTTACTTTATTGTACTGTGAAAAAGCACATACCGTTCCAGCCAGAATGTCATGAGGACAGCAGTCCAGGAGATGGCTCTTGCAGACACGATCATCTGTAAACTTCACCCTCTGTCTGGTTTCGTCTCCTGAAATTCATGTTTGGTTTTAAATAAGACAGTATTATCCTATTAACCATTCATGGATATCTGCTGCAACAATTCACCTGGATTTGCCGACTATCAATTTTGTGCACTCCCCATCAAATTCACTGAAAAACAGGGTCTAGAAACATAATTGGAAACTGGACTACTAATGTATTTATAGGTTTAAGTACATCATGAAAGAGTATGAGATCTTACCAAATGACGTCTGACTTGCCCATTATGCAAAATAGACAAATGGCCAAATTAAACGGCTTAACAATTATCAAGTTTACCTGGACCCTACTCAAGAAGAGCAGATAGGGATGGAGATACCAAAACCCATGTTACTCAGTAGGTCACGAATCAAAGAATATGACACTTACACCTCCTAATTTCCACCAGCAACAGGTATCATCATCTATTTTCTTGATGTGGACAACTGAGTAGGCAGTGTTTTTTTGTCCAGAGTCCAGGAAAAGTATACAAACGTCATTGTAGAACCCTATGATCTGGGCATCTCCCTGGTTCCCTTTTCCCCACCCTTAAAATATTTTGGCATTTGGGAGTCACTTTTAACAAGACAATATGAGAAAGGCAGAAAGAAACTAGGTTAGTCAATACACACTGCGAGCTCCAACACATACTGTACCCATCTGCATTCTTCAAGACCTCAGCTGCAGAATTTTATGCCCGCTGTTGAAAAGTTTTAAAGGAAAAGTTTTCTTGCCCACACCTGCAGTAAGGAAGTCAGGGGAATGATACATAAAAGTAAAGGCAAAGTGGCAATGGAATGTGACAATTTTAAAGCTAATCTGTGTATATGACACAGATCTGTGTAATACTAAAGTAGGACTATATTTTAGGATTTGCAAGCATCCAGGATTAATGTAGTGTCTTTTTTATTGAAAATGTTTTCTTTCTAAACTACACTTTTAAAGTTACTTGTGAAAAAAGCAAACACTTTTTTGTTATAACAGCTTTAAAAATTGGTTGTGACTCACGGCTCGATGAACATGAGGCTTTTCTGCAACTCCCTTGCAGATTGATGTAGGCAGGCAAAGATACACTGAACCTTTATAAATAAAATAGAGGGGCCACAATTGTTCAGTTTGTATGAAATAAAAATATGGGAAGCAATTCAAAAGCAACTCAATATACAAAGAAAGCTAAAAAGCACTTATTCATCTATGAAATAAAGTGCAAAGAATCTGCACAGCCCTGAAAATGTGCCAGTGTGAATTTACAACTTCATTATTTCGGTAGAAAAGAAAACACAAACCACAACTGGAATATAGTTTTGTTTTGGTTTTGCAGCCTTTTTTCCTGAAACATTTAGAATTTCGCTTTCCTATCTATAGTACAAACCTACCTATGTCTGTAAGGAGTTGACTAAACACTGGGTTTCTCATGTGAAGGCTTAAGGTGGTGATAGCGTCACTTTGCACATAACCCCCATATTAGAAAAGCCGACCTTACAATTTCTTTTGCGATAAAATAGAATAAAAATAACATTTAGATATATTATCTGTATATTAGGCTCCATCTCTGATAGAACTTCTTTTCAGAGGAAGCCCAGGAAAAACACCGCCGCATGGTTTGGAAAACATACTGTCTGTGAGGATCAAGAAACTCAGGCCCTTTACTAAATTCCCTATTTTCTCGTAAGGTGGCCAACAAACAAGGGTATATGTGTGCAGGAGAGGAGGAAGTAAAAGTCGGCCCTGGGGCAAAGAAAAGACGGTCAAAAGCGGACAGTTATCTGCTGGTTAGCGTTGAGGGGGGGGTTTGTAAACCACCAAATATAGATACAAATCAGTTACTCTGAGCCCGCAACTATTGACACCCTTTAAATTTCGCTCAGGTGGGGGGGCCAGAAGAAGCCACGAAGGAGGATTCAACTTTCAGGAGGGCAAAAAGAACCGCCAGAGCCTCCAGAGGAAGGATGTGCGTGGAGGTAGCCAGCGCCCGCGGCCTCTTAGTCTGAGTGGAAAGAAAGGGAGCCAGCCACAAAAAGGCCCAAACTGGGCCCCCACAGGCCGAGCAGGGAGTGCGTATGCATGCGTGTTGGGGGAGGGGGAGAATCCGGTAAGTAAGATGCCCAAGCACCCGAGGCATCGGCCTCCAGGTGGCAGGATCCGGGCGGAGACAAAGGGGCCCAAGGCCTGGGCCTCCAAGATAGGCCAGCCGACGCCTGGAGGCCAGAGACAGCGGCACAAAAGGCCCGGGCGCCTTGCCTGGGCGGGCGGGGGAGACAAGAGAGGGAGTCCGGGTCACCTGGGGCGCACGCGCAGGGCCGAGCAAGCCCCCCCCCCACCCCCAGCTTCGGGCCGCCCGGGCCGCCCAGGCCTCGCCACCTCCCTCCACCTCCCACCCCCACCCCCACCTCCGCTCCCCGCCATCACCGCCCGCCATTCCAAGCCGCGGGCTCCTCGGCCGCTCCCTACTCACCGTCCCGGGCCGTGCCCATGAGCTGATCCAGCAGGGCCCGCATCTGCGCCTGGGCCGACATGGCTGGCTGCGGCGGGTGGGGAGAGAGAGAAAAAGCCGGTGGGGACCTGGCCGGAGGTTCCTCTCACGGCGCAAGCAACAGTGGCGGCCTTCCGCGGCTGCGAGTTCTAGACGGGTCGTGTCGGCCTCGAGAGCTCTACTTCTCTCCTGCTTTCTCCTTCCCTGCCGCTGAGGATGTCGGGAGGAAGTGCGTATGCACCAGGAAACAAAGACTTCTGGGTGTTGTAGTCCGGTTGAGGTGGGGTTAATGGATTGGGTGGGACGTTATACCCTCTAGTTTCACTGGGCGATGGTAAGGGGAAAGAGTTTCTTTGACGCAACTCAAACTCTGACGTCTTCTGGAGGCCAGTTTTCACGTTTTCATACTACACGTTGTATTTAAAAGTTTTTTTAAAAAAAGAATCAATTCAATTTTACAAGTATTGATTGAGGGCCTACTATGTGCCCAGCAGTTCTGCTGTGTATTGTGGTTCTGAAGACAAAACTGGAACAGTACTAGCCCTCAAGGAGCTTATACTTTCCCCGAAGGGAAACGCGTACACAGACAGATAAGTAAATACCAAGAAGTACAAAGTAACTTAGGGAGAATTAACTGGAGGTAATCAAGAAAGAAAAGTGCTCTTAGGAAGTCTCACTTGAGCTCAGCCTTGCTGGTGGCTAGAAGCAGAGGTGAGCAGTGAATACTGTAGGCCTGGAGGACAGGTGGCCTGTGCAAAACCATGGCTGTATTAGAAGGGATGTCTTGTAAGGGAAACTTTCAGCAAGTAGGGCAATTTGGCTGCAGTGGAGAGTGCATGAAGGAGACTGATGTTGCAATAAAAAAAATAGCATTTATAATATAGTACTTTAAGATTTGCAAAATGCTGAGGCCAACAGAAGTTTGCCCAGGGTGACAGGGTGCGAGGAGGGGCCGGAGGATAGCATTTATATAGCACCTACTGTGTGCTGGAGACTGTGCTAAATGCTTTTTACAACTGTTGTCTCATTTGAGCCTCGTAATAACACTGTGAAGTAAGGGATATTTTTAAAAGCAATTGTGGTTAAGTGATTTACCCAGAGTCACACAGCTAGTAAGTGTCTGAGGCCCCATTTGCGCTCAGGTCCTACTGACTCCAGGGCTGTTGCTCTGTGCCACCTAGCTGCCCCTATCAGCTCTATTCTTCAGAGGCTTATTTGACCTAATAGAGAATGAGGAAATAGGAAGGGAAAAAATCCTGGATCTCCCTAATATTAACGATTAGTTATTTAAAAATCATTTCTCTCAATGTCAAAAAGAGTGTCAACTCTGGTTAACAAATGACCAAAAGAGTCATAGAAGTTTTGCAATCACTGTTAACTCCAAAAATACCAAAGAGCTGTCACAGGTTAAAAGCAAAAGGCTTTGTTTTAATTTCTTTGCCATTCAGAACTCTGGCATGTGCTACATAAGTGGGCAGTGCCAAATACTTTCCTTTTGTAGGACTGCTCCCTCAAAATAGGGCTATAAATCTGGAAGAGCCAGTTTCTCAAGAAGGTGAGGACTAACAGAGGTGAGCTCTTGCCATCATAGAGCTAGAAGAGCCCTTCTCCTCTTCTAAGATGTGAGACTGAGGTTAAGGGCCTGGGCCAAAGTCAGGAAGATGGTGAATGGCAGCAACAAGATTTGAATTCAAGTCGTCCTAACTCCCACTTATGGCACACTGACTGCTCTGCTCTGCTGTCTCCCAATGGTCTTGATTATTTATGGGCTTTAAGAGTGCTTTGCAATTTTTGTTGGGGTTAATGAAACTTGTCATAATTCAGTGTTTTGGTAGATTAGGTACTTCTGTGGAAGCTGAAAAGCGTCAACAGACAAGCCAAATCCTGATGTTCCCATGGGAAATACTGGATGGGAGCAAAAATCATAAACAGAAATCCTCTTCACTTTGAACCTGGTCTGTGTGAACCCATAGCTGTGTTCATCCTCCATTGAGTAGAGGCATGACATGGTCAGACCTGGGCTTTAGGAAGATCAGTTTGACTGCTGTGTATAAACCAGAGGCAGAGAAACCAACTAGATGGCTATTGGAATTGTCTCAATGTGAGGTGATGAAGGCCAGCAGCAAAGTGGTGGCAGTGATTGTTGGCCTTGCTCTCAGAGGACTAAAATGACATCACCATGTTGGAGGCAAGGTACAGTATGTCCAACTGTGGCTGAGTAGACCAATATGAGCTTGAAAGGCTCTATCATAGATTGGGCACAAATAGTTCATATGAACATTTGGAGTGGAAATGTCTCTAGATTTGCATATCTTACATTTCTCTTGAACTATTGCAATTCTGCTTTGCTCATAGAGCACAGTGCCTTCTTTGTTATGGTGTGCTTTGCTGGGTGGTCCTTTGACATTGTCTCTCCTATCATGAAATCTATTCCAAAGTTCCTCAGAGAGACCTTGAGAGTATCCTTGTATCCTTTCTTCTGACCACCAAGTGAGCGCCTGCCTTGTGTGAGTTCTCCATGAAATAGTCTTTTAGGCAAATGTACCTTTGGCGTGCAAACAACATGGCCAGCCCACTGGAATAGTGTTCTCTACAACAGAGTTTAGATGCTTTGCTGGCTTCCACCAGAAACCTGTCCCAACTCATCTTAATTCTAGTTCCTTCCTTATTTATTTCCTTTTCATCCTATATATGACTTGTCTGTACGTATTTGTTTGCTTGCTGTCTCCTCCATTGGATTGTGAGCCCCTTGAGGGTGGGAAGAGGTATTTTTTGCCTCTTTTTGTAGCCCCAAAACTTAGCACATAGTAGGCACTTAATATGTTTGTTGACTGATTGACATATATAGGCAAAACATCAAACTTGGCAACAGATTGGATATGAGGAGTGAAGAGAGTATGAAGAGTCAAGGATGGCATCTAGGTTTTGAGCCTGAGTGACTGGTGGTACCCTTGACAGCAATAGAGAAGTTAGGAAGGGAGAGGTTTTTTGAAAGACAACACAAAGTTATTTTGTGTTGCATTTAAGATGTTTATGGGGTTATCCAGTTTGAGATGCCCAGTAGGCAGTTGGACATGGTAAAACAGAAGGTTCAGAGAGAGGTTAGGTAAATCTAAATAGCTCTCAGAATCATCTGCACAGAAATGATAACCCATAGGTGCTGATGAAATCACCAAGTACAATAGTAAAGAGGCAGTAGAGAAGAGGGCCCAGGACAGAACTCTGGAGGACACCCGTGGTTATTAGGATCATTCTGTAGGAGGATTAAGCAAGAGAGACTGAGAAGGAGCAGTGAGATAGGTAGGAGAACCAGGAGAGAACAGTGTCGGGAGAACCAAGAGAAAAGAGTATCAAGGCTGCAGAGATAATGATAATAGTTAGCATTTATTTATATAGTGCTTTAAGGTTTGCGAAGCATTTTATAAAGCTGCCAGCTGGGTGGAAGAGGGGCAGCTAGGTGGTGCCATAGTGCACAGAGTGCTGGGCCTAGAGTCAGGAAGATTTGAATTCAAATCCAGCTATACTTTCTAGCTCTGTGACCCTTGGTCAAGTGTTTGCCTCGGTTTCCTGAATTGTAAAATGGAGGATAATAGTACTACCTCTCGGGGCTATAGTGAGGATCAAATGAGATAACAGTTCCAAAGCAATTGGCACAGTGCCTGGCAGATAGTGGCACTTAATAAATACCTGTTTTCTTCCTTCCTTCCTTGGTCCTCATACCAACCCTGGGTAAGTAGCCATTATCCCCATTTTACAGATGATGAAACTGAGGCACATAAAGACTAAACAATTTGCCTTGAGTCATACATTTAGCAAGTGTCTGAGGGAGGATTCAATCTCATGTCCTCCTGCTTCCAAATCCTGTGCCACCCAAGATGTCCCTAAGAGAGCTCTAAAAGGATGAAGACTGAAGAAAAACACCAGGTTTGGCAATTAAGAGATCATGAATAACTTTGGTGGGAGGAGTTTAGATTGAATAACGAGGTAAGAAGCCAGATTGCAGAGGGTTAAGGAGGAAGTGACCGTTAATTGATTTGCCCAGGGTTAGTTAATCACTTGATCAATAAACAGGGTCAATTAATCAGTTGATCAAGAAATGTTTTTTAAATTCTTACTAGGTTCTAGGCTTTGTGCCAGGTGCTGGTGATACAAAGAAAAAGCAAAATGTCCCTCAAGGAGCTTATATTTTAAGAAAGAGATAACAAGTATGTAGATAGACCTCAGGTACATAAAAACAAGATAATCTTCAAGAGGATAGCCTCTTGTGAAAGGTGGTATTTGAGCAGAGTCTTGAAGGAAACCAATGGCTCCCTATTACCTTGGGAGGGAGTCATCACCAGTTGATTTATATTTGGCCACAGATTTATCTCTTGCCACTGGACCCAGATGCTCTGGAGGAGAAAGTGAGGCTGGTGACTTTGCAGAGCCCTCCCTCACTTAAATCCAGTTCACTTGCAGGTCATAGCATCACCTTCCTGATGCCATGATCCTCTTGGAGAATGAAGGACAAACAACAACCTGTGAGTAGTATGGGCTGCCCCACTGGGGACCCAACTGGCCAGTTCCAGTTGGGCCATACAGCTCCTCCCTTCCTTCCTTCTCCTTTCCTTTCCTTTCTTTTCCTTTTCCCTTTCCTTTCCTTTCTTCCTTCCTCTCCCTCTGTCCACACAGAGTGCCTTAGGGTACTCTACCTAAAGGAATGTAAATTTTGACAACTGAAACCTGATAAGATACCTTGGGGTTTACAGATTTCTTTCTTAAGGACCATGCATTAAACCTAATTCATTCTGGCTCTCATTGGTTGGCCAACAAGAAGTCCCAGGCAAGCCCCATTAGTGGTCATTGTTTGGGCCTTGATTGGCTCAGAGTAAATGTAAATAAGCAATTGTTTCTGTTTTGGCCAGAAAACCTGAGGGTCTTCCCCTCCCAGATTGATTTTTTTTTAACTAGGTAAAGGAAGCTATTCTCTGCCTCATTTCTTACCTAGCCTTAATGGGTATTGCCATCAGTCAAACTGAAACCTGGGAAAGACCTTAGCTTAAAAAGGCCAAGGTCTCCTCCCATTTCATCCAGAGACATCTCCAGTCATCCTGATTTATATCTTGGCACTGGAGGGGAAAGTGAGGCTGGGGACTTTGCACAGCCCTCCCTCACTTAAATCCAATTCACTTCCCAGTCATGGCATCACCTTTCTGATGTCATGGTCCTCTTCAAGAACA